TAAAGAGAAGGGAAAACCATGGTAGAAATTTAGCAATTAGAAAAAATAAGCACTCAAACTCTACTCAATTGAATGTTGTTTCTTTTCCAAAAATAACTACCACAATGGGTTATATGTAACCTGAAAATACTTATGATTAAACTGCCAACTACTGGGCATTGATGGTACCTATAAATATAATTTCTATTAGTGGTTACCTACCAGTGAACTCATACCTTTGAAATTAAGGAATGCAAAACTCTCTATTGTAGGAAAGAGTATCAACAGAAAGACTTCTCTTTCCTATGAGCCCTCTCATAACCCCTTGCCCAGGGTATAAACTGCAACGGCACTTCGGCACTGTGAGCTTGGCCTAGGTTGGGTAGCAGAGCTTAAAAGGGCAGGAAAACCAAGATGACATGGCCCCTTGGAATTTCCGTAAACTAAAATGATCAGACAACATTTTTGAAACAGAATTTGTACATGAGGAAATATAAGCATGAAAATACATAATAAAATATTAGATATTTGGAGAAAATAATAATGGTGGTAATAATCGTAACAGCAGCTTTCATTTATTGTATCAATAAATGAAATACTTCATAGCTATTATTATACTCCATCTTTACGAAAATCCTACAAAGTATCTGTAAGATTATCATAATTATAGAGATTAGAAACCTGAGGCACAAAGAGGTTATGTAATTTGTCCAAGGTCACAGAGCACAACTCTTCAGAGGCTGTGATCTTAAATAAAATGCTTCACTAAGCAGTGTCATCAATCAGGGCAATAATTTGTAAGCACAGAAGAAAGCCCTATAACCATTAATTAATACCACCACCATTTACTTCAAGCTTCACCAACTTGTATCAATTTCGATTCTTTCCCCTCCTTGAACTCCAAACGCAATTAATCTAGTATATCTAATGATTCTTCCTCAATCTGATTATATTCAGCAAACACATACAGAGCATTCATTATATATAAAGCATTATACAGACAAAAACTTTTATATCAAAGTTTCTCAGAAGACTTCTGCATTCCCAAGAAAGAAAATGCAGGGGAAAGGAAATCAATTTTATTTATGTCCTTTACAAATATAAAAGAAGTAAGCATGACTGAATCAGAAAACAATTCTTATTCGTTACACTTAGAATGCCGCACATTTGCAAATGTATTCATTCATTTAAACTTGTTTGTTACAAATAAATCTAGTTGATAAATTCTGACATATATAAGATTAAAGCCAACACTTACAGAACACTCACTATGTACCAGACACTGATCTAAGCACTGCCCACTGTACATGTATCTCATTTAATTCTCACAACAACCTTGTAAAGTAATTATTATTATCCCCATTTCACAGATGAGTAAACTGAGGTACAGTAAATTTAAGTAACTGGACAAGAATCACACATGCTGTAAGTGGCAGAGCTGGGATTCATCCCAGGTAGTCTGGCCCCAGAGTATGTGCTCTTAATCACTGCCTTCTAAAGAGGGGGGGTTGGTGGGGGGGAATCTGAAATTAGAATAAATCATTAACACTGTAGAAAATAAGAAAAATCATGATATTCTCTGGCCTTTATGCCTGGTTACAAAGGTCAAATATAGAAAACAGTCATTTGTAGGAAAGAATAAAAAATAAGGGAGGGAGGGGACAAAGTCATTAATTAATTGTACCTCTGCCCATTTCTAAATTATCTGAGATTAATCACTCCTTTCAGTCTCTGGTGCTTTAAATTCAATCACCACTTTCACAAATTTCTGAAAATAGAAGCGCTATTCAATCATGATGATGCTTTTATCTGTTCACGTGTGTGTGTTTTTGTTCTGCACAGGTGGGGAGTAGGTCAACGGTGCTGTGGGTAGTTCTGATAACCGGAAACTCAACCAACCACCTGTACGCTATGAGGCTACTTTTCTGGTGGTTTTGGGAAAAACAGGGAAGACACACTACAAAGAGCTCTGCTGTAGTGATTTTTCTTACTTCTGAAAATGGGCATAGGGTGAAACACTAAAAAGAAGTTAGTGGCCTCTTAGCCACACAATTCCAGTGGAACTCACTTATGCATCAAAGTTTCTAGAGCAGAATGGTATCTTCATCAAAATTAAAGTCAGGACCTATTAGGCAAAAAGTATAAAGAGAAAAAGTTCTCCTTGAAAAGTTGTTAAATAAATATTGATCTCAACCTTCATGAATCTGTATAGCCAATCTTGTACACTAAAATGTATAGTAATACAGTATTAATAGAGTTCATATGCTAAATACTGCTTACAGTACTGCAAAAAAATTATTCTTTCTCCCTTATAGTTTTTTTTTTCTTTTTTTTTTTGCGGTATGCGGGCCTTTCACTGCTGTGGCCTCTCCTGTTGTGAAGCACAGGCTCCAGACGCGCAGGCTCAGCGGCCATGGCTCACGGGCCCAGCCACTCCGCGGCACGTGGGATCTTCCCGGACTGGGGCACAAACCCGTGTCCCCTGCATTGGCAGGTGGACTCTCAACCACTGCACCACCAGGGAAGCCCCCCATTTTGCAGTTTTTAAATACCTCTTTATCACGACATACCACAAAAAGTAAAATTAAAAATTTTTCTATCATTAATGTGAAATCAAATTATTTATTAAATGAGATTTTCTGTGATGGAAATGTGTTATTTATACAATATAGGAAAGTCTAAATAAATGTCATTCACATAATTTCTACAAAGGCATCTGCAATTTCATTAAAGCTTAAACTGACTTAATTTTACTAACAATGTGTCAAAACTAGCTTTTGGCCAATATCATTATTTATTTCTAAATTTTAAAAACTCACCGTATTAAAATACTAAGGAGAATGAAGTACTTTGTTCAACTGAGATTCTTATTAACAAAATTATATCCATCTATAATTATGATTATGAAAAACATGGTCAAGATGATAAAATATATTTAATAATAAAACTCAAAAAGTTGACAATTTTCCTATAAAGGAGTGCTGAGGACAGCTTCAAAGATAACCATAAATGTCTCTCCCTGATGAGAAGAGTTCAGGGGAGAAATAAATGGTTTGAAATTGTAAATAAAATATAACATCTTGACTAACACAGAATCATGAGTAGGATAAAGGACAAAAGTTATTGGAAGAGTAGATTTCACCGGGAACAAAAAGAAAGGAGGGAAGTAAATCACTGTTCTATCAGATCACTCAGTAGCCAGCAGGGGAAAAAATGTGTGTGAAGTGTGTGAAGTGTGTGTGTGTGTGTGTGTGTGTGTGTGTGTGTGTGTGTGTGTGTGTGTGTGTGTGTGTGTGTGTGTGTGTGTGTGTATGGCTGTATGGGATATCTGGAGATTAATCTGGATTTTTATAATAGAAAACTACTATAAAATCAATTTAACTTTTCACTGTACATAACATACACTGAAAAAACAAATTAAGAATAAAAAACTGCATTTCACATTTGACCTATAGATCAAATAGCAAAAAGAAAAGCAAGATTTGCTTTGAAGTCCGTCTCTAAAGGTAAACTTTCAGGAACATGAAATATATAAATGTTTGGATATATTATTATGGTCTCTTCTCCTAAAATCCTATTCAGTACTCAAGTAGAAAAACACTGAAAGCTTGAAACGGAAGTAAGGTACAAAGGCACCATTTAATGTATATTAAGAAATAACATGTTATCACACAGTAACTCAAGGCTGTGAAAGAAAATAATCCAGTATCAACTAGTATTGTCCTCTAATACATAAAATCCCTACTTCAAAATCGAAACAGGAAACCTATCTTTCCTATTCACAATATTATTCAAAAAATAAAAAAATTTTAAAGCTGGAAGGAAATTTGGATATCAACCAGTTTACCCACAAGATAAAATATCACGTCCAAGATTAAGTAGCAAGTTCAAAGTAGTGTCAATAGTAGATCCTGTGATACCCAGGACAGTGCTGTTTACACTACAACTCAGCTTTCACAGCACTGATTTGAGAGAAGGAAACACTAAAACCCATGTTTAACAGTCTCTCTCTACAGTTTCCTGGATTCCACAGGACTATCCCAGTTCTTCTCCCAAGTATTTAAAATAAATTAAACATATTTACAGCCAAATATAACAAAACCCATATTTTAGTAAGTATTTTCACTCAGCATTTTTCAATGCAAAACAGTGTAACCCATATGGAGACTATGAATTCCAATCACATTATTCAGTTTTCTTCCACTTAAACCAATTTGCTTCTAGAGTTAAGTGCCCATAAATTTTATACTTGTCTATTCTCTCTTGGTTAATTCTGAGAGAAATAAATAGTTCATTATTCATTCAAAGTATGACCTTTTGGAAAAGGTAGCTCTTAACCTCATCAATTTACTGCAGAATCTGGGGGCACAGCATTTAATTTTATTGTCAATTCTTTGGTCTAATTTTCAGTCTCTCAGTCTCATTTTTTAAAGTTTTGGGGAATTTTTTTGTTCTTTTAATTTCTGGAAAAGGCTCTAAACTTTTAACCTTTCATTGTATAGCATGTTAGCTTGGTCCTATTTTCTCTTAACTGCCAACCAAGAAATGTCATCTGTTGTATCTGTTTTGATATGCTTCCAAGAGACAGGGCTATAGAATCCCTGATACAAATCGCTGATGACTACTATAGCAAGAATGTGAAAGGGGAGACTAGAAGCTGGTCCTTTGAGAGCTCTCAAGGCAAATAAACAATACAAGAAGAAAAATGACTATGTTTAGAGATTACTTAGTGAGGCATTCCAAGCTCTTCCAACTTTAGTAAAGGGTATTACAAGTAGTTGAGGTGTAGAAATAACATCAAGAATATTTCTTTCATTGTAGGACATAAAATGAACTCCCATAGTATGACAGTTAAGGGAAAGAATTAAAGCTACTATGAAGGTACTGGGTATTCTAATATATTCCCATAAAATACATTAATCTTCACTTCTCTTAGGAAATAGAACTCACATATGAAAGAACTTACTTATTCTGCCAAGTTATCTTTACAATTTTAATCAAGGGTTGATGAGCAAACTTACTCTAGATGAGTCATAAGAGGGGCTTGGTTGACCACTTGTTCCCCAGGATGTTGTACCTCCTCGTTCATCCATACCTAAGGAGAGAAGAAAGTAAACAATATTAATCCAAGAGGATACAATGATGGGTTTTGTTTGGTATAGCAGATAATACAATTCAGTGGGTGGTATCTGCGTTTGATTGGAACTGGCTGTGTATCAATCCTTGCCTCAGAAACCTGCAGAAATAAGTTACTTGGGAGTATCTTTATCACTGCTCTATACAATGCCCTACATACACTGCCAGTGTAGGTCTTTGGAGATTTTTGAACAGAGTATAATCTAGGTCTCTCCACCTGTCTCCACCCACTGCTACTTCTAAGAGTAGATGAATGAATGCCCCACCCCCAACTTTCTAAAGTTTAGTACTGCCTCCATGAATATACGAAGTAAGGGTTAGAAAATGAAGCAAGTCAAACAGTGCTCAAGTTAATAAAACTGGTTTCTATCAAAGCACTGAGTAGCTATTCTTAACTGAAGACATCAAACTAAATCAAACTATATCAAACCATATCAAATCAACACAAATTATATCAAAACTAATCAAAATGATGTGACAACTCATCCTAATAAAATCTCCTCTAAAATCTGATTCTAAATGAGGAGATCTATTCTTAAGAAAATTGCAAAGGAACACTCAATGTTGACAAGGATAAATTACCATTAACAACAAAATAATTCACTATCCTCCTTAATGCACCTTCTGAAGCTTTGGCTCCATTATTTTCACCTTCCAATCAATCCCCAGAAAAATCTGCAAGAGTTGGAGATCTCTCATTCCAGCCACTTCTCCCTTTTCTGTTTTGAAGACCAGCCTTTCTCATCCTTGACTCCTAACAGGGTACACTTTCCCTGACCCCTTCTGAGACTCTTTCTATGATGAAATACAAATGGTTGACTTTTTTTGTTTCATTCTTGCATGAGAAAACTCTAGATGTTACAAAAACAACATTCTGTTAAGTTTAGAACCTCTTTTTCTTCAAAGAAAATTCCTTGAAGTCTTCTGTGATTTAGATGAGAAGTGGTCTGTAGTAAGTTAAATGCTACAAATTCTCCAATAACTAGCCACGATTCCCAAGGCTCTTTCATAGGGACCGAATTGCCAATTGAAGGACTAGGTGACAAAAGCAAGGAAAGGAAGTCAGTACCCAAAGTAAAATACACTAATTACTAATTCAGTTAGTAGGACCCTAATTTATTCTTTTTATGAATCTGTACTTCCTATACCAAAAACAGTATAGAGAAAAGATGGATACCTACTATAAACAACACACTAAGCACAATTTCAAATGAATCAGAAGCTTTAAAAACACACAGATTATATGTAAAAACAAAACAAAACAAAAACAACAAAAAAAGTGTTTTTGTTTTGTTCATTCTTGGAGAATTCTTATTGAAATTCTAGATTTAAGAAAGATTCTACAAGTCTGGGGAGTATCATGTAAAAACACACTTTGTTACTAAATATTTCTCCAGTATCCAGTTACCTGTGGTCTATTTTCCAAGCATTTTCTTTGCAATCAACACTGTAGAATAGCAGATAGGATTCCAATGAGACTCAATCCAAGACAAAGACTACTATCAATCTACAAAATCCATTAATATAAAGCTACTTACAAAACTGCAAATAATTTTAGGAAAAGTTTTATTTAAAAAGATCATACTTTCCATTTGTAACTTTTTTCCTAAATGAGTTATATTTTTTAAATATCATATATCCAAAGTAAAATGCAAAAGTAAATTGGCTCCTGAAAGCAGGGTCTCAAATATTTGCACACCCATGTTCATAACAGCATTATTTACAATAGCCAAAATGTAGAAGTGACTTCAGTGTCCATTGATAAATGAATGGATAAACAAAATGTGGTATATACCTACAGTAGAATATTATTCAGCTTCAAAAAGGAAAGAAATTCTTACACATGCTACAACCTGAGGGCATTATGTTAAGTGAAATAAGCTAATCACAAAAGGACAAATAGTATATGGTTCCACTTACATGAGGTACCTAGACTAGACAAATCCATAAAAAGCAGAATGGTGGGCCTGGGGGTGGGGAGTAAACATAACTTTCATTGATTTAGAACATACAATGCAAACTTATTTTGATGATCCTATTTCTAATGCAAATAATTCATTTTATGACTCTGAATTGTCTTTTATCAAATAATTAATAAATATGGGGGCTATGTGTTATTTTAAATACATTTGTAAAAGAAAATAAATGGGTGCCTGCTATAGAAAACATCTCAGACAAAATTTTAAGTGATAAATGAAATTCTGTGAAAACACATACTTAATTCTTATCAAGTGACACTAATTACTTCCACAACATGAAAGAGCAAGGATTAATTAAATAAAATGGTAATTAATTAAGCCACCAACTAAAGAGTACTACATACCAACGATACAAGACATGTAGAGGGCTCAAAGGATGCTATAGAATAACAAGGATCTGGCTAGAGTTTAAACTCAGAGCTCTACAGCTTTATTGTTAATGTATCTAGACTCTGAGCAGAAGATCGTGGCTGGCACTGACAAAGGCAAGAGTCATCCTTTAGCATCAACGACTCCTTTCTGCTCAACACAATGGCTGTACAAACATAGAATTATGACAGGAGTAATAAACTTTCCAAAGCTTCAGCCACAAGACCAAGGTAACCAGGAAAAAAGAAATTACACACAGAAAATAAACAATACAGAAATTACACAAATTGATCAAAATCTGAAAAACTATGTATCAACAAGAAAATATACCACAGTTGCAATACAGTAATTAGGAGGAAAACATTTCTATTAAGATATGTCTGAATCACCACTGCCATATATTTTTCTTTCCTTCCTATTTCTAGTCTACACATGCCAATTCAACAATTTTTGAGATGCTAGTGCCTCAACTTAACATTAACATGGTAGATGTAACAGAAAGTTTAGGAATAATTAAGTAGTAGAAACACTTTTGAATCTTGCTTAACTTTCTAATTAATCTATTCTATTTTTCTGCAACAAAATTAAAAGGGTTAACCAATAATTTAACTAATATAGAGATTTAAATGATACTTTTTTAATCTTTTATATACAGACTCTCTTAAGTACCTGCTTTTCTGAATGGAACCAATTAAAATCCAATATATATTTTGATTCCATGTGCCTCATTTTAAAAGGCTTAATGTTTTATTTAACATTTTTCAGTAAAGAACAAACATTAAATTTTAGACTATATATCTAAAAACACTGGTTTGTGAATTCAATGGAACAATCTGCTTCCTTCTCTTGTGAAACATTTAATAGGAAAAGTAACTGATAGCAAACCATAAATAACTACACATACAGGCACTTCCCTAAGAGGCTGGGAGCCTGAAGAAGGAATACAAGGTGTAACCAAGTTTTTGAGATGTCAGAGAGCAAGACTCTTGGAGGAGCAAGTAAACTTAGCCAAGTAAAATATCTAGCATTACTTTCTTTCCTATGAAGGACTCAGGTACTACTTTGCCTGCCTCCTCTCTACTGCCACCATCTTTTTTGACTGAAAGTGCTCTCTTTCCTGAATCAGTATAAAATTATCTCACAGCTTCTATCCTACTACTTCTTTCATTCTCCTAGCACAAAATCCTAGAGACTTCTCTAGGTTTTTAGCCATTAGCAAAAACTGGAAACATTTTTTCGGGGTAGTGACTTTTCTATACACTATACACCTGTTCCACACCACCCCCCGCCAATCTGGGCCCCCAGGGGCTCAAAAACAGTACAGGGTTTGTGTACATGAAGCATTATTCAAGCTTTGGTTAGGCTCAGACAAGACCTACCTGGAGGTAAAAGGGGTGAATGAGGAGTAAAGCTGCTGACCAGCTCCTCTCCCACCTGCTACCACCAGACCTATCACCAAAGACTCTGTCACCCTAGACTACGAGGGTGAAGGGAGAAACACATCTGGAATTGGAAAATATTTCAGGTACTGGTGGGAGTCTAGAGAGCAGAGAAGTAATGAAAGGGAAAGCAGGGTGGGGGATACACAAAATCAAGAGAAGAGTAGTTAGGATATCCCTGCAGCAAAGCTATAAGAAAAACAAGTCAGGGCTTTCCTGGTAGTGCAGTGGTTGAGGATCCTCCTGCCAATGCAGGGGACACAGGTTCGAGCCCTGGTCCGGCAAGAGCCCACATGCTGCGGAGCAACTAAGCCCGTGCGCCACATCTACTGAGCCTGCACTCTAGAGACCGCGAGCCACACTACTAAGCCCATGCGCCTACAGCCCGCACACAGCAACAAGAGGAGCCACTACAATGAGAAGCCTGCGCACCGCAATGAAGAGCAGCCCCCACTCGCCGCAACTAGAGAAAACCTGTGCACAGCAACAAAGACCCAATACAGCCAAAAATAAATAATAATAATAAAAAAAGCTTTTCAGAAAAACAAGTCAATACAGCCACATTGCTTTGTATTATGCCCGAGAGTTATTCCTTGTGGAAAAGGGACATATATAAAGTTGGGAGGAACAGCACAGTGGATTGTATACCTCTCTTTCTCTCTTTCTCTCTTTCATGCACATACACACAGCTTTTGGTAGCAGTGAAATCAGGTTTTTATTCCAGCAAATAAAATGTACTTCAAAAATATCAAATCCCAACACTGTTATAAATAAGGAAAAGATAATATACTTTACAGGATTGCCATCTGCTATAGGATGATTCAATAGATGATGTGATAAAAGAAATCTGATTGGAGATAGCTATGTCAGATAACCAAAGCTATGGATGTGTCTCTTCAGTAGTTTCTTCACTCAATTTTATTTGTGGGGTAATAATATTCCTTTAGATCAGACTCAAAGGCTGCAATCAATTGTAAAACAATATACACCTAAAAACCCACCACCACCATATTTTATTATATTTCTCAAAGTTTAGATACTTATGAAATAAATCTACCGATGTGTTTTTCCAGAAATTCACTGAGAAACAGGATCAATTAGAATATAAAAGCAAATCCTTTGTTTTTATGCTACACATTAATGAAAAACAAATAAAACAGAAAAGATATGGA